AACCTGCTTAGGGTCTTGGGATTACCTTAGGCATGGTGTCTTTGAGGTCAGAAATTCCTGCTTTGTATTAAGAGTTCAGTCTTTGGAAGTGCAGATTCTGGAGTAAGGATTATTTAATAAGAAGAAAATCAGATCAACAGTATAACTTAAAGACTGGCAAATGATAGATAAATAAGAATTGCAAAATCTTTGTGTTTAAAATATCCCTACTTAGTTGGGTGGTGGTTTCCAATGCCTTTAATCTCAGCACTCAGGAGGCAGAGGCAGGAAGATCTCTGTGACTTTGAGACCAGCTTGGTCTACAAAGCTACACAGAGAAATCCTGTCTCAAAAAACTAAAAAAAAAAAATCCCCACATAAAATTAATGCCTTAGTACAGTCATCATCAGAGAGGCTTCCTCTGGCAGTAGATGGTAGCAGATGCAGAGACCCACAGCCAGACATTACATGGAGAGAAAGTCTAAATTGGATATTTCCATCCAATCCCTCTCCACAGAGCTCAGGGAACCCCACTGAATAGGCGGCAAATGAGTGTAAGGGTCAGAAGGGATGGAGGGCACCAGGAAGACAAGCTCTTCTGGATTAACTATCATGACTCATATGAACTCACAAAGTCTGCACCAGGTCCTTTGCATATTGGAGCTTTTAATGTAGTATTTTTATGGGACTCCTGAGTGTGAAGACAAGTGGGTATCTGATTCTTGTGCCTGCCCTTCAGACTCCTTTTGTTGGATTGCCTTGCCAAAATTTGATTTGATGGCTTTTATTTTATTGTATTTTATTTTGTCATGCTTGGTTGTTATCTCTTACAAGCCTGTTCTTTTCAACTGAGTGACAGAAAGTGGATCTGGAGATGAGATGAGGTGGGGAGGAATTGGAAGGAGTAGAGGGAGGGGAAACTACAAAGCTATTTATCAGAATATATTGTATGAAAAAAGAATCTATTTTCAATAAAAAGAAAAAGTCTCCTTATGCCTCGTTTTGTGCATATATGCATTAACTACATGTGTTTAAGTTTTTATATTGTTGCATGGTAGTACCATTTGCTTATAGTGAATGATCATACCGTAAATGAAATTGTTAAATTAGTCCAAATTCCTTTTAGTAAACAGTGTATAATTGGAGTTTCTGAGCAAAATTCCTGGCTCTGACAACTATGCTAGGTTAAGTTTCAATAGAAGAGTGCACACATAGGTGTGTGTGTGTGTGTGTGTGTGTGTGTGTGTGTGTGTGTGTGGTGTAATCACTTTTAGGATGATTTTAAAGTTTACTAATATAATCAAGGAATACAGAGAAGGGATTTAATAGATGTGGCCATGTTGGTAGAAGCAGCTAGAGAGGTGTGCTGACATTTTGTTTGTGGTCCTGACATGTTTTCTTTTTAAATAGGAAATGAATTTAAAGTGCTTAACTAGATAGGCTTGGTCGTTGCTCAGTTGATGTAAGAAGAACCTATTGCTTGAGAGGATGGACTTAACTTCATGGATGAGTGCTTTAATTCAGGGAGTTGTACAGCTAGGTTCAGTAGTTCCTGGAGTTGACTGACTGAGACAATGATTAATTCCCTGTTTAACTTGTTTATGCACACAAGTAAGCAGATAGCTCAAAGAAAAGGAGGCAGGCACAGAGCGAAGTAGGAAATGACAGGCTTCTGATTTGCCATTAGTTGATGCGAAAATAGAGAGGTTTTGAAGACTACTGGGGCTTCTCAGTATTTCAGATATCACTTTCTGTGTTTTGTTGGGATACAGTTATTTTATTAAGAGAGAAATGTTGGAGAGAATAGGCAAGAGCCAGGAAATGCTGGCGTGTGGCAGCAGTGGGCAAGAACTCTGCTCAGTAGCTCCTCTCCATACCGCCCAGGTTCCCTGTTAGACGAAGTGAGGCTTTTTGGTGTTCTGCCAGGAACATGCACTGGCCAGAAGACAAACTGCCAGTCGTGGGGGCAGAGGAAAGGGAAAAGGAGCCATCAAGGAATCAGAGTGGACACCCACAGGTGATAAGACATTCACTAAGAAGTTGGACCAATGGGTTAATGTTTGAATGTGGATGCTGTGTATAAAAGCTAAGGGAAATTAAACAAAGAACCAACATGTATAGGAATGTCATTAACCTTATAGCATCTGTGAAGACATGGCTAAATCAATGACCTTATGGGACCATTTAGAATTGGTAGAAAATCACAGATGCAAAGTATTTATTCCCTGGTAATTATTCTCTGGAGCCTGTGACTACCCTTGTAGCATTAAAAGTGTTGTTTTCAAGTGTATTATAGTATTGTCTAGAAAGCCACCCCCACCAAAAAAAAAAAAAAGAAACACGAAAAGAAGAAGTCACTCAAGTGCATGACTTTCCCTGTGAATATCTACAAAATTGTGGAAGTGTCCATGTGTGGATGTATTTTACAGATCCATTTGATTGTCTTCCACTTACAGATGTAGTAGATGGACAGATACTCTGTGTCCATGATGGCTTATCCCATACATAGATATACTGGATAGCATATGAGCCTTGGGTTGTTTCTAAGAAATATTACATGAGGGCCCAGTGTGTGATCTGTTATGGTTGAATTGTGATGATTGTGGGAGATGGGGTAATTTACCATGGAGTGGTACTGATTGGGGAAATGAAAAAGGGGGGGAGGGTTTTAGATTGGAGGGGGAAGATAGTGTAGAAGAAGGAGGGTAAAATAACAGTAAGGATGCTTGAAAAAGTCATAAGGAATCATACTCTAAACTATTTACCTAAAACATATAATATACATAAGTCAGTATATAAATATAAATACATAGTTTAAATAAAATTTTCTCATTTTGGCTGACAATGCTGTCTCCAAGAAACAACTCCAACCCTAGGCAAAAGAAGCTCTCTTTTTCATTTTTGGACAAGGTTTACCAAGAGATTCACTAAATATAAAGACTGTCACTATTGTCCTTGGTGGCCTCCCCAGAATTAAAGGTAAATCCTTACGACTGAAGACACCATGCTCTTCAGATACAAGACCCAGAGGCCCATGAGTTGGAGCTGACCTGAAAGCCTCCTCCCTAAGGACTTGCTTTCTTGGTACAGAAGGCACCAAGCAAGTTTCCAAAGGAGGGAAGCAATCAATAGTTCTACGCAGCTATAATGCCCATGAAACACAACAATGACCTGAATGGCCATGATAACCACAAGGAAACACTAGTGGCATGATTCCTTGGTGGTAATCACCAACTCTCTAACTGGACTTAAGACCCAGTCAACAAGAGGGAAATCATGCCTGATACTGGAAACCTAGAGACTACCAAGGGCTAGTGAAGTCATGAATCTTGGCGGAGAATCCATAACTACCACTTTATCAAACTAGCATAATCCCTAAATATATGTCATGCCCACAGATAAGTATAGTTCTCACCCATCATTAAGTAAACTTCCCTTCACAACATTTTGAGACCATTACAGAAAACCATAGCAAATCCAAAATGCAAAGTTTGTGGAGTTCAGTTCCATTGATGTATCTACAACACAACTCCCACACTTAAGGCCCAGGTATCATTGAGGAAGAGGTCCCAGAAAGATTGTAAGAGCAGTGGAAAAGGGAGTTTGCTGTGAGTTTGTGTGCCCTAGGAATGTTAGAAGTTACACACATAAAGTGTCATGAACATGACTGCCTAAACATGAGCTGAACAAGGACAACAACAATAGACATGCCAAGTTCATAGGGAAAGCCCATGAGGCCTCAACCCTACACAAAGAATTACAGGCAAGGAAGAAATGTTCAGAGCCAGAGAAATAGTTCCCAGAGAAGAGCACACCAACCGGTTATCCAATGTCAAAATGACAGCCTTGAAAACATACATTCAAGTAGTATTATACAGAAAGAAGAGATTATATTTAGGAATATATATGAACAAATATATACATATATGCAGGTAACAGCAATTGATGAAAAAAGACCATGGATTTGAAAGAGCAAGGAGAGGTATATGTGAGAGATTTGAGGGGGAAAGGGAAAGAGGGACATGATGTAATTATCCTGTAATCTCAAAATTAAAAGCAAAACGATCTGATAAACCTGCTTGCTCTATGGAAAATGAACTGTGAATGCAAAAGTAGATGTGACAAGGCTATCATTCATTCAGGTCACAAATATTTATCAGATGTTCTCTATATCCAAAGCCCCAAGCTGTAGGATGTGTCATGCTAAATAAAGCAAAACTCTTGCTTTGTCTAGTGAAGGAGTCAAGGTGTGAAGAAACACATATGCAAGACTAGGAAGTGAGACAGGAAAGGAGCTGGAGATGCTGTTTTCCACAGACTGATAAGGTAATGCTGTTGTATCTGTCTGGGAGGCATCTGAGTCGGGACCTAAGTCAGCAAGGTCAACATGGCTGGAAAAGACATTGAAGAGGCAGTTATTACTTATTTTCCCTGGGAATGCCTTATCAGCTCAAAGAATTTTACATGTTTTCCTAAATATGCTGAGAAGTCATTGGAGGGTTTGGATTGGCAGCATGGCACCTGTGACTTATAAAGTGTTCTTTGGTTTCTACATGGAGAAATCACCATGAAAGGGGCAAGAGTAGAAGCAAGGAAGCCAAACAATAAAGCTATTGGCTGGCCAAGATAATGATGGCATAGATCATGGCTAGGGCAGTGGAAACAGAAAAAGGTATGCAGCTGCAGGGAAGTCAGCAGGCAAACTGGAGGAGGTTTGCTATCACTCTCCTTTAAGATGACAGAGGGAACTCTAAAGAACAACAGCAAGATTTGTCAGACCTGCAGTCCAGGCCACAGGAGCCGGTTTGGGGAATCAGGGAGGTCACAAGTTCATTTTTGGGATCTCGGGAGGGAGTCAGACAAGATGCCTTGATCCTGGGAACTGAGAGGTACTGTTTGTCCTGGAGAATTAATGATGATGCCATTGAGACAAACAGCCCAAGGACAGGTCAACCTCTCCTCTCAAGTGAGAAAAGAGCCTGTACCTTCCTCAAGAAGCTGCTGAAGACAAAGGTTGCAGGATGTTTGCTCTGTTTGTTCTGGGGATGTTTTTTCTGTTCTGCCCATATTGGGGTAAGTCCTGGTGATGAGGAGACAGTTCATCATTATTTAGGAGGTGTCTAGATGCTGGGAAAGGAAGCGTTTCCAAAACTGGCTGTGGAGCTGTAGAGGTCCAGGAGATTGTGATAAGGGAGACTGCCTTTCCCTCTCTTCACAGGTAACCTTCAGGACCATGAAGGAGGTATGACCATGGCTGGTGTAAAGTTTTTGGTAAACAGTTCATTTGTGACATGTTTAGGAGTAAACATCCCTTCAATTTACTGTGGAATACTTGGAATCCAGGCTTCTCCTAGAATAGTTATTCTATTTCTGTTAGTAAGGAGGTGAAAAAAATATACAGTCTATACAAGATGATTATTACTTGAACCCTATGAGTAAATTTTGCAGGAACCCTCCTCAAATGGTATACACTTGTTTTGTGTCTATAAGGTTCTCTCTCACATTCCCAGTACTTGGGAGACAAAGGCAGGTGAATCTCTATGTTCAAAGCCAGTCTGAACTACATGAAGAGTTTTAAGACAGCCAGGGCTCCATAGAGAATCCCTGTCTCAAACAAAATGAAATAAAACAAAACAAATCAAAATATAACATTTCTCTCTCACAAGATTACTATAGGAGTCCTATTTGGGGAAGATTAGAACCAATGGATTAATAGTTAACTCCCCACAGAGAAGGCTATAATTGCAGAAATTTTCTTGAGACCACATTCACCAAGTACTTCTTTTTGTATTTCGAAGATGTTGGAATAATGTGTTATAAATGTGAGAAATATCATCTTGGGCTTTGCTATGATGTCATGAGTTCCTGCAAACTGAAGCATAGCCAGTCCTGTGCTTCTGAGAACGTTTACATACTCACAAGGAAAGGTAATGTGGGGGACAGAGTGATGGGCAGCTAACCTCACCTTCCCTTCTAAATAGCAGTGTTCTTTGTGCTTAGGATGAGTGGGATAGTGGGATTGATGAGGATGAGTGGGCTTGTACAGGGATGGAAAGACAGACCGTTCCATAAGATAACACTGACATGTCTGGTCAGTTCTGGAATAAAATCCCTTCTCTGGGTTAGCAATGAGTAGAGGAAAGTTATGATGGTTTGAAGATAAATTATTACCAGGATATGGAAGGAGGAAATAGTCTTTAAAATTTTTTCCCTCTTTTACTTTCTCAGGGCAAAGCATGTATCATTATTCAAGACTGTCATGTATGACCAACTGTGAGGACATCAACTTCCTGAGTTTTGAAAAGAGAACAGAGCTCCTCTGTTGCAAACATAGTAGCTATTGCAACCTCCCAATGGGACTCTAGTTCTGATTTTCCTATGGATTTGGTGTCATTCTTCAACTTACTACATACTCCCTTCCCCCAAAAGTCTGTATTTGCTTTCCCCTCCTAACTAATGGTAAATGAGAAAGTCATCTGGCAGTGATAAGGGAAGTAGTAATGGGAGAAATTGGGCTGGGAGCTCAGTCTTACTTACTGCTAAGTAAACCTTTGTCAATTCTTTTTCTCACATCTGGCAGGGCTGACATTATTTTGTTGACATTGCTGCTTGTTGTGACTAGGCTCAGAATTAGTTATCTCCTAAATGAAAACATAAAGTATTGGGTCAAAATGATATCCCAACTTGGCACAGAGAAATCTGTGTGTATACTCTGTCCTGGTCTGTAACAAGTCTTCTGAATTGGGATTCTCTTTGGACTAGCTCTGAGACTTCTTGGCACAGTGCTTTTACTCAAAGATTCTGGAGGTTAAACAGAGAGATTAAACCACAAAAGTTTAGAAGTTTGTGGAAATTGTCATTGATGCAGAAATAATTTAGTGCATGTGGATCTGGTTTGTATTATCAAGGCTCTGGGTTGAACCAGATGATTGGATTGGGCCTTGATTAAAATTGACTATTCAATTTCTTCTGATTGGAATGAAAAAAAGGGATAAAGGGTTTCTATCATAGTTAAAGGTAACAGGATATGCAGAGATAGCAAGAAGTACCATGTTCTAGTTTCCATTCTATTGCTGGGATAAAAACATTCTGACCCAAACCAACCACGAGGATAGGAAAGGGTTTACATGGTTTATACTTCCAGATCGTAGTCCAACATGGAGGGAAGCCAGGGCAGGAACTCAAGGTAGGAGTCTGGAGACAGGAGCAATAGAGGTACAATGCTTGATAGCTCATCTGCTGGCTTATGCTTTGCTAGCTTTCTCATATAATACCAGACCACCTGCCTAGGAATGGGACCACCAACAGTGTTCTGGGTTCTTATGTAAATAAGAATAATCAAAATTGTCCTCCACAGACATGTCCACAAGGCAATCTTATCTAAGCAATTTCTTAATAGATTGTGTTAAGTTGACAAAGCTAACTAGGATATGGTGTTTGGGCAACAATGTATGCCACTTCAAGATAATGTTATGAATAGCAGAAAGAATGAAAGAGTAGAAGTTAACACCAGTAAGAGGAGAAACATGCAGACACTACATGAATCAAGTACCAAGGAATAAACAAAACCAGAGTAGCACAGACACTGGAGCATCACACACGGGGCCAAGATGAACAGAGGGCAACCACATTTCTCTGATTAGGAAGCCTACTGCCATTCCTGGTCCCGGATTCCTATGAGCCTTCTCAACAAATTATGGCACAATAAACTCTCCAATGAATAAATTGTTCTTCTATTTGAGAAATTAAATGCATTTTCTCTCCTTGTCTTGTGTCTGAGGATATAGTTTGCTGTTATTTTTGGGGAATTCCCAATTTGGACTTTATAGCCAGGATGGATAAAAAACACAAAACAAACTGAAAAGAAAACAAACAGCCTCACTAAAACCAAAGGAAGACCCCCCAAATCATGGAGACAGCTTTTCAAATTAGGTTGGAAAATCCAATGTAATAAGAGAGTTTGAGTTTGTGTCCTGGAATTTTGATGTATCTGGACTCTTTCACCCCTTATTACATGAGGATAGTAAGTTAGTGTAGGGAAAATATTATTTAGCACTGTTTCAAAATAATCTTTAAAAAGATCCTGAACCAATATTTAACAAAGCCTAATTTGGATTTTGTTGAGCATGAAGAATTGTAATTAATTACAAGCTTGTAAGGAGCCTCACCGCACTGGGTTTTATGCAGACATGGGTGTTTTTAGTGCCTGTGCAGACTATGTCCTGGTCAGTACCCAGTTGCATGGATCCTTGAATTTTGAAAGCTCATGCTTACTTAGCTATAGATTTTCTCTCTGCCAAACAAGATTTGCTTTGTCTACTTGCTGAACTCTCAACTTGGATGTAGACATCAACTGATTAGTGTCCAGACTCTTGGACCAAAGTATGGATCAATCTATGGTATAATTTGTCTCCAGCACATTTTGTAAATGGGACAAATCTAAGGCTAGTCTGTAACTGAGATCACATTTTTTGAACATTTTCCTCCTTCACTTTTAAATTTTTCTTTAAGTTTTCAAGGGTGTGGTATGATGCTGGGTATCAAACCCATGGCCTCATGAATTCTAAGCAAGTATGTCACCACTGAGCTACATCCAAACCATTATTCTCTCTCTTTAAGTTTTAAGGGGAACATCTTTGAGAATGGAACTTTCAAACAAGGTGGTCCAGGTTGGAAAATGAAGTTGTGTTTTGTTTCTGTTGAGTGAGAGAGGGTGCAGGTCTGAATGCATTACTCATGAAAGAGAAGACTCTTTGATATAGGATTCCTGACAACCTTAGTGAAATTGTCCTAATCCTTGAGGATATTTTCTTTTATTTCACCAGTCATGGGATATTCTCCTCAGTTATAGTATGCAATTTGGGCAAACAAACAAACAAACAACCCAGAGTAAAACCTGGCTGAAAATTTCTTTCTCCAAATGATGCCACACCCAATATCCATTCTGTAGCCATCTGATACTCCTCTTCTAAGTGTTAGAGTAGTTACGCAGGGGTTATTTTTACAGATGTCCTCTTAATCAAGAGTTGTATTTGGGCTGGCAACCTATGAATCTGGAATTGACAACAAATAGTTCATACAACTTCATACATTGATCCAAAATGAATTTTTTGTATTAAATCTATAATTGTGAAAAACTCAAATACAGTTTTAATTTAAAATATTTGTTGTGTCTATTATTATTAGTTTTTAATATATCTAGACAAATTCTGAATACCTTACATGTATGTGTGTAGCTACATAACCTTACATGCTTTTCACGGTTTCTATAATGTAGACAAGTTGATAGATAAGAAATCTGTTACCAGGCTGGTGAAATAGACAGAAATTATATTTTTTCCAGTCATTACTGCTGTCACCAATGTAACCAAGTAAATCCTTGACTGAAGCAACTTAAGGAACTAAAGATTAATTTTGGCTTTCGGTTTCAGGTTTCACAGTGAGGAAGGCATGGTAGAGTTTATGGTGACTTCGGCCTGAGCTGATTATATATGGGAAGGTCAGGGGACACAGACTGTACTGGAACAGGAGTGAGCTACTGGCCCCCCAAACTGTGAGTGGCAGGCAAGGCCCTATACACCAGTTTCCACAGCCTCTCGAAACCAGTCACCCACCTGGGGCCAAATATTCAAACGTCTGAGCCTGTGAGGGACATTTCCCATAGAAACCATTGTACAGTGTAACACATGGTACAGTATAAACCATGTGCAACACATTGGTGACCACTGGAATGGTATGTCAGAATTTTTAGGTAAACACTGGGGCTTTCTCTTCTCCTTGATGACCAAGGTCTCAGAGGAAGACCAAAGACAGAAGAAAACGGAAGCTGGAGATTATATCCTTTTTTTCTGGTGTTTTTTTTTCTTTTTTTTTCTTTTTTGCCTTGGGAGTCGTGTCTACTGCACTATACTGTTTCCATGCCTCCACTAGAGGATAGAAAGTTCTAGAAAAGCTTGTGATATGGGAAATATGGTTTTACACTAATCTTTGGAAAATACAATCTGTTACAAATAGTTAACAGCAGAGCTAAGAGTTAATCCAATACCTGTATAATCCCAAATTTCATTCTTATCCGTCCTCACTATTAGATATCAATATTTTTAAGTGTCTACATAATCTAATGGTTGAGGAAGCTTTTCTACCTAAGCTATCAGTTAAAAAGATTGATAGATTTGACCACATATGATAGTATTTGATAAATTAAAACCACCCCCTTGGATAAAACATAAGAATGTAATGGGAAAAGTTTACCTGATAATAGTTTGTCTCCTAAATATACCAAAGTTCTTTCATATAAATTAATATAAGGTCAGCTGCACAATTAGATAATAAACAATGAACAATTAAATAAGTTACACAAATAATCCAAATGAAGAATATAAATTGTCACTGCACATAAAACAATATCGACTATCATTTATAACACCAGAATTTCAAATAAAGAAAACAAAGACCTCAGAACTCTTGATTACTACATTACCAACAAAACTGTTTTGTGCTACTGTGGATAATACAACTAACTCTGCTAAATGGACCTAGTAATCAATGGTCCCTAAGTTCTTACCTTTCTACCCATAGGTTGTGCGACTCTCAACCTTTGTTAGAGAAGCTTCTCCTTGTTTGTTGATGTCAACTAATACTGAGACCCGTGATCTGTCAATGTGCAGAGAATAAGAGACCGGAGTACCCAACTCTGTACAGGAGATCTCCATCACATCCTCTTCCCCCCAAGGCTGAGGGGTCATTGCAGAAGAGGGACCAGAAAGATTGCCAGAGCCAGAGCCAGAGCCAGATTCTGTAGGAAAGCAATATTTTCTGGACATGACAACATAGCTGTACATATGAACTTGCATAGAGTGAGACTGCATGCCCAAGACCTGTACAAGATTAAATCAGCCAACATCCAGCAACATTGTGTGTCAGAGGCTCACAATGTCCCACCTGAGTCTGAGGGGCTATTGTCAATTGATAGCTGCTTGGGGAGAGTTGGTCAGTTTTCTTCAGGCATGCAGGGCCCAAGAGGTGACCCATGCTCTAGTAGATGATCTCATATCCTCATACATCCAGGTAGCACTAAATAGATTCAGAGGGTATTAACGAAAAGAGAGAGCACATGAGGCTGGGGGAGAACTCGATAAGGGACAAGGATAATAGAGGTGAAGGAATGGGGTGGATTTGATCTAAATATATTATATGCATGTATGAATACTAAAATATATCTAATATAACAAAATTAAAATATATATGGTTCTAAATCTCTCATTCAAAAGCTTAATTTGCAGAAAAATTAAAGAGGAAAAATAAATGCAAAGATAATAAGTTTTATAGCTGTATTGGTATATAAAGAAGCCAGATTTGGGGCTGG